CAACAGAATACTGAACTCATGTGATAAAGATGGCTCATGAATCAATTGTGGGAAGACACCTAGGGACAAAGAAAACAGAAGACAGAATCACCAGTGACTTCCATTGGCTGGGAGTAGATTCGGCAGATCATGCAACATCTGTCAAAGGACAATACCTAGAGGGAAGGTAGCCAAAGTGTCATTGGGGGAGATACCTCTCATAGAAGAGATGTTCAGCAGAGTAGCTGTGGACTTGATCAGGCCACTAGAACCCATTTCTGACAAGGGCAACCAGTATGTGTAGTAGTTGACTATATGACACATTATCCAGAAGATATAGCACTGGCAAAGATAGAGACAAGAGAGAGTAGCAGAAGCCCTCCTGGAGGTATTTTGCAGAGTAGGCTTTCCGAGAGAAATCATGAGTAACAGAGGGACCCAGTTTCCTTAAGAATTGATGCAGGAAGTGTGCAGACTCACTAGTACTTGGCAGCCCTTTACCACCCCATACAATCCTAGATGTAATGGACTTTGTGAGAGAGAGACAATGGAGTTTTACAGAGCATGCTAAATAAGATGTGCCAAAAGAGACATCATGACTGGGACAGGTACTTGCAGGTAGTATTATTTGCTTATCGAGAAGTCCCACAAGCATTTACAGGATTTTCACCCTTCGAGTTACTATATCGAAGAATGGTACGAAGTCTGATGCAAATATTGAAAGAGCTATGGACAGGAGAAGAAGAGTCAGAAGTAAGGAACACATACCAGTATGCATTAGGCCTCAGAAACCAACTAGAGGCGACCTGTTAACTGACTTGACAGAGCTTGTATGCAGCTCAAGGCAGTCAGAAGCATTTCTATGACAAGAAGGCCAAGGATTGACATTTCAAGGTTGGTCAAATGGTCATAGTTCTGCTGCCCACAGAACACAACAAACTCACCCTGCAGTGGAAAGGACCTTTTGAAGTACAGGATGTACTCAACAGAATGGACTACAAAGTGAATGTGAATGGGAAGACCAAGATCTACCATGCCAATCTGTTGAAGATGTATTTTGGGAGAGAAGACCTAATGAGTACAGCTAATGAAACAGAGATGGGTGTAGCAGATGTGGCCATCATAGATGCAGAACCAGAAGACAGCAATTTTGTCTTCGATGATGAGGACCTACTAAACCTAAGACCACTGGGTGGAGATGAGACATAAAAAGATGTCAACATTAGTTAAGAACTGACTGGCAAGCAGAAAAAAGAGCTACGAGACATACTGTGCAGATATCTCCATGAACAGACCAGGAAAAACAGACCTTGTGCAACACAAGACCAAGACCACAGCCAGGGATAAAGTAGGAACTTGAGGCAATGTTGGAAACTGGAATCATCGAGCCTTCAAATTCAGCCTACAGTTCACCTGTTGTAGTCATGAAGAAGAGAGATTGCTTCTGCATAGACTTCCACAAGCCAAATCTCGTGACAAAGTTTGACTCCAAACCTATGGACAACCGAGAAGCTATCATGGCAAAACTAAATGGGGCCAGTTTCTTTTCAATGATCGACCTCAGTAGAGGTTATTGGTAGATCCTAGTGGAGAGGGGGTCTAAAGAGAAAACAGCATTTGTTACACCAGATGGATGTTACCAATTTAAGAGGATGCCATTGAGTTAGTCAACTCAGCAGCAACATTCAGCCACATGATGAGCAGGATGTTGTGCCACACCACCAACATTGAGCACTATGTGGATGACATTCTGATACACACTGCAAAATGGGAAGAACATCTGAAGAGACTTAGACAATTGTTCCAGCGAGTGAGGGTAACAGGCCTCACCATTAAGCCATCCAAGTGATATATCAGACATTCTATACAGGAGTTTGTTGGAAACAAGGTGGGGGACCAACAGACAGCCATGAAAAAGAAGGTAATCCACATACAACATACACCAGCTCCAACGACCAAGCAGTAAGTCAGATCCTTCCTGGGGTTGATGAGATACTACATGAAATTCATTCCAAATTATGCTGAAGTTACTGCACCATTGACTGATCTGACCAAGAAAGGCTTGCCCAACAACATGAAGTGGGAACAACCACACGAGGTGGCATTCCAAAAATTAAAGAACATATTAGAAAGTTTGCCAATTCTTAGAATGCCAGACTTCAACAAACCATTCATTGCTCAGGCTGATGCTTCAGACATTGGAATTGGGGCAGTACTCTTACAAGAACACGAATACGTACTGTTTCCGGTAATATATATATACACATACATATGTAAAAAGCTATTAAGTACTGAGAAGAACCACTCCATGATTGAACGAGAGTGCCTGGCTATCATATTTGCCATTTGGAAGTTCCAGAACTATCTATACGGGAAGGAATTCATCATCCAGACAGACCATCAACCACTTGAATACATTCAGAGGTGCAAAATTGACAGTGTGAGGATAATGAGGCTGGCGTTGTACCTTCAGAACTACAGGTACAGCATTGAAACCATCAAAGGAATTACAAATGTTTGTGCAAACTGTATGGGTAGACTTTATGAGTGATCTGAAAACAGTCTTTGTATATAGTGAAAAAAATATCATAAATATTTCTCTTAAAGAGGGGCTTATTGTCAGATATAAAAGACTGTTTATGTAGGTAGTATTATAAATTAATATATTTTGTATTTGTAATTTATTGATGTCTAGGCTATGGAGATTTCTAGAAGGCCTAAGTAATAGAAGTAAAAATAGCTGGGACCAGATGAGTAGAAACACAGTAAAAGTAAAGTCAGGTGAAATAAAAGTTTAGTCAGAGAAAAGTTAGAAAATGTAAAGTTAATTGTCGTGGCATGAATGGCCTAATGGTTGATATGTTAGGGTGAGATTAACAGTTTGAAAGAGATAAGGAGAATAATTTATCTTGTCAAAGTATGTCTTAAACTAACTGAATCTGCCTGTGTGGACTTTGATAAAAGATAGATGATTATTGGAAGTTCAGGATACAACTGCAGTAACTCACGCAACAGAGTAAGTGAATTATACACATATACTATTGCAATTAAAATAGACTGTCTAACATACATATATATCAATAGAAAAAACTAGCTACACAATGTGTTGAAGGACAGGACTGTCAAACATACACATATATCAGGAGAAAAACTAGCTACACAATGTGTTGAAGGACAGGGTTGTCTAACATACAAACATATCAGGAAAAAAAAACTAGTTTCACAACATTTCTTTAACAGAGAACATCTGACAATAAGAACTAATATGTTTTCAGCTAGCATATGCCTAACATAGCTCAGAACAAATATACATAAATATTTTAATGTATACTAAAAATAGAAGGTACTATTTTAGACTGCATACCTTATCAAATTGGCATACAACAACATTGTCTGTTTCAAATAATTCTGATGGATCTTCATCACTTACATCATCTTCGGAATTTAGAGGTTCCTAAAAAATATGGCAATTAAACTTTTTTCAAACCTTAAAACAAACTCTCATATCTAATCAAACAGTCATATTGAGTCCATATAACAAGTCCACAATTTTCAAATACAGAACTAGGAAACCAAATGATGTTCTATAAATCAGTGAAATGGAATATTTTTGTTTTACAATCATGAAGTAAAACTTAAAGTGTATGATAATTGTAAAAACTTTTCTTTTGTTTCACATCCCAGTTTATTGATAATTATTATTTTAAAGAGTTGTTAACAATTAGCAAGGTTCCTATTTTAATTAGTTAACAATGTTTCCCAAACCACTATAAACTGAAAAAACCTAATTCTACATTACAATCCTCACAGCCCATTAAGAAACATTGTACTTATAACACAATGATCAATCTATGTGAATACAATTTTTCATCTCTGTGATACACATAGAGAAGTTTTAATTTTGAAATATATAACACTAACTTTTACTTTATTTGGACTACACATCCTACATAAAACATGAATGGCACCTTACATGACACATGGGTTGAATGGCCATTGATAATATAGAATTTCTGACTAAAAGCAGGGCACCACATGGGTTGAACATCTAACTAAAAGGAGGGCACCCAGTCAGTAAAATACTTTTTCAGAATGTCATCATTAAAAGTCACTCATAAAAGGAAGTACAGTTCCTGTTGAACATCACATTGAGGTTCAAACCTTCAAACTTATGACCTGCAGCTTGGCATGCTAGCCACTAGTCCATGTCTGCACCCAGCTGGTTGATAAACCATCATCCAAAACAAGGAAGTACTTATTTCTAACTGTGATGCAATGTTTCAGGAGTTGCATCTTTTCCTTACAGATGAGAACATATCCATAGTTCTTCCTATTCATTGCTTTTTAACATCCACATTCTCATCAAAGTGAATGAAGAAGTTAATGATGATACTGCCAAATGCACAAACTCTTTCTTAAAATATGAGTGAAATATTACATCTAAAAGGACAAAATTGAATTATGGATTTCCAAGAACAATGCCTAATGTAAGGTGTCTAAATTAACATTATGGAGCTATGGATTTTCTAGATTTTTAAAGCAGAAACTAGATACTAGATAGTTTGTTTAATTTTTAAGCACAAAGCTACACAAAGGTCTGTTTATGCTGTGCTCACCAGGGGTATTAAAACCTGTTTATAGTATTATAAGCCTTCAGAATTACTGATGGATGTGACAATCAGATATTAATCTTTATCATAGTTCACTTCCCTTCACTTTGTCCCTTAACCCTTGGGGTCGTTGGGGTACCACTGACGACTTTGCAACCAGCTCTCTCCATCTTTCCCAGTTTTCCACCACCCTCTGGGAGTTGATGAACTCCAGGCCTGTCCACTCTTTGATATTGTCTTCCCACCTCTTCTTTTCCCTCTCACAGTGCCTTGCAAGATGGTCTTTACCAAGCCAGATGACCGTGAGACATGACCATACCACTTCAGTTTGCATTTTTCGACAGTGGTCAAGAGATCTTCGTATAGTCCAATAGCTTGTTGGATTTTGTTGCAGACCTCTTCGTTGGTAACACTGTCTATATATGAGATGCGCAAGACCTTTCTGTAGCAACTCATTGCCATGGCCTGTATTCTTCTTTTTAGATTTGCCGGGAGGGTCCATGTTTCACAAGGATACAGAAATATTAATATGACAAGGGAGTGCAACAACCTAATTTTGGAACTAAGAGTGATGTGATGTTGTTGTCAGTCTATATTGGCTTCAACCTTGCCAGTGCTGTTGTTGTCTGTGCAATCCTGGAAAGTATCTCAAGCTTGGAACCCTCATCTGTGATAACTGATCCCAAGTATTTGAAACTTTTTACTGTTTCAACTCTTTGTCCATGTACATTGATCTCAATGCTGATGCCGTTGGTCATCAGTTTAGTCTTCTCGGCACTGATTTCCATACGGTAAGCTATATATGTTTTTCACCAAGCTGGATAGTTCTTGCTCTTCTCCTGCTAAGCCATCAATGTCATCTGCGAAACAAAGGTTGATCATTGGCCCTACTCCAATACTGACAGTGCCTGCATGATCTTCCAAGACATCAGTCATAATCCTTTCTAGAAAGATGTTAAAGAGGGTGGATGAGAGTAGGTATCCTTGTCAAATTCCAATCAGTCCCCTAAGTTGCCATTTATGAAGACTGCACTCATGGCCTTGTCATAAAGATTTTCAATGACTCAAACAAGATTGGCACCAATGTTGTACTTCCTCATGGTTGCCCATAAGGCTGCACGCCATACCCTGTCAAAGGCCTTCTTGAAGTCTATAAAGACATCATAAAGGTCTTGTTGATGTTGGAGATGTTTCTCACAAAGGACCCTGGGATTGAAAACCTGTTCTGTGATGCTTCATCCTACTCAAAACCCCACCTGTTCTTCAGCAATGATCTTTTCCCACTTAGAGCTTGAGTCTGTTTAATATGATCTTTCCCATGACTTTACTCAGGTGACTGATGAGGCTGATCGTTCAGTAGTTTTTGGCACAGCAGTAGGTTGCCTTTCTTGGAAAGCATGATGACCATAGACTGGGTCCAAGGGATGGACCATTCCCCTGTCTGCCAGATCTTATTACATAATTAGTAACCTATATAATCACCCAAGTGAAATTATTCACTAGCACCTTCTAATAACTACTTTTTATCCTACATTTCAGATGCTAATCTGCAGAACCTGAAGAAAGTGTATTAACAACAAGATTAGCTCTATCCTAACACAAAACAAAATACTTATCTTGATATATAGCTACAATTACAGACGACACAACTTTATGTCTACCAGAAGAAGAAAAGGAATTATTTAGAATAAAGTCAGCAGTCCAGAAAGTTAAGAAAGGTAAACTCCACTACAATACCACCCTATTATAAAAAAACTATCCTCAGAAACTTGAAAGAAAACACCATGACAATGCTTTCAGTAAACAAAGAGATTGCCGCTGTAATCACAGACAAAGAAGATTATTTTAACAAACTCAAAACTCTACATGAAGATGGCCACTGCATGATGCTCAAGTCTAATCCAACCACTAACACATAGAAGGAAACCAACCAATTCTTCAAGAAACATGAGAAAGAACTTGGAACTAAAAAATGTAAACAACTTACAGTATACAACAATACCACCACACACGTCTGTGGAGTATAAAGTTCACAAACAAGATTACCTCTTCGGCAATAGTTAATTGCAGAGGTTTACCATACCACTTCACTTCTGGTACATATAATACCACTATTAACATCCCAAACCACTTTGTAAAAATTATAAATGCAACCAAGATAACCTCAAATGACATGATGACCAGCTTTGATGTATCCAATTTCTTCACTAAAATGTTACATCAATATCTTGAAAATGAAAGAACACTAAACTGACAATTCACAACCTAAACTAAAGATTAGAATGTCACAGTTCTGCCACTGATTCCCTCTTTGATCTTGGTATTGTTATTATGTTAGTTACTGTAGAAGACTGACATTGTTTGATCAGAGGTGGCTCCCCAGTGGTAAGTATGTGGACTTATAATGCTAAAAACTGGGTTTCAATACCCATGGTGGGCACAGCACAGATAGCCTGTTGTGTAGCATTGTGATTAACTACAGAAAAATGTCACTAGTGAATGGGTATGGAAACATGAGAGGTTACATGCTACATCTGCAAGTTTTAGTTGTTACAGGTGTCTCCATAATTTGGTATGAGTAGAAGAAAGAGATTATCTTACAGAGTCTGCATTCCTTTGTGTTTGTTTCAAGAGAATATGACTAAATAGAAAAATATGACGGCCACCCCGAGCCTTCAAATTTCGACCGGTTTTCCATAGTAGTTCACATTGTGTTGTTGATGTTCACATATCAAGTTGCTTCACCTGAAAGTCGTGGCTCCTACTACATCATGCTCCAAGTTTAAAGCTGATTTATAAATGTTTAGAATCAAACAAATCTTTACAAACAAAAATACCCTTCCAAACTTTACCATTTTGACATGTTTTCTAAAGTAGAGGGTTCAGTTGTTACTGTTTAGCTATTGTTTTTGAAACTGGACAAGTTTTCTGAAGTAGAGGGTTCAGTTGTTACTGTTCAGCTATTGTTTTTGAAACTGGACACGTTTTCTCAAGTAGGGGGTTCAGTTGTTACTGTTTAGCTATTGTTGTTGATACTGGACACGTTTTCTCAAGTAGAGGGTTCAGTTGTTACTGTTCAGCTATTGTTGTTGATACTGGACACTTTTTTTCTCAATTAGAGGGTTCAGTTGTTATTGTTTGTCTATATTGTTGTCGATACTGGACACATGTTTTACTATGTAAACGTTTGAGTTGTTACTGTTTAGCTATTGTTTTTGAAACTGGAAACGTTTTCTCAAGTAGAGGGTAATTTCAATGCACATGTTTTTTTTTAACATATAAATACACTTCTTACGTTGTCCTATGGAACTGACTCGTGGAAGATGTAGCTCTAGAATAGTATTTATTTAGGAGAAATCCTGTCTCAAACTTTGGTTGTGTAGCATTGTACATCGCTACCTTAAACTAGGACATACATGATTTATTAAAAGCTTAACAAACATCTGTAAAACTTTTCATGTTAGAAATGAATTACTGGTGCAACGATCTAAGTGTGACGTAAAACGTAAAGCTGCGCCTATTGACTTTTAAATAGCGATAATTCCCATGGCAGTCTATCACCATGGCTACACAACGATCCATCTTCCTGGCTACATAGCAATCTGTCATCATAGATATATGGAATCCTGTCACTGTGGATACACGGCAACCTATCATCATGGGTACTCAGCACCATGTCTTTATGGATTCATGGCAATCTGTCATCACCATGGGTACATGACAATCTGTCAACATGAATACAAAACAATCTGTATACATAAATACTCATCAACCTGTCGCCATGGATATTCAGTAAACTGTTATCATGACTACTCAGCAACCTGTCTTCATGGATACAGGGTAATATTTCACCATGGTTATAAGATAATCTATCAACGAATACACAGCAATCTGTCACCATGGATACATTGTAATCTGTTATCACAAATACACACAACCTATCATCACTGATACAAGACAGTCTATTACCATAGGTACACAACAACCTGACTTTAACAGTTGTAGGCTTATCTTAGCTTCTGATTGTTAAACTTAGCTGAAGTTCAGTAACACAAAATGTCCGTAATCTCAGTGTCGGTGAACATGGCGAGGACAAATTTTAACGCTACTGTGTGTCATGTGATCAAATACTTTACCTTTATGGATATCATGAGAATACATCTGCACCACCACATGTCACGTGATCAAAGTTTAACTTTGTTTTGCTTCACTTAGCATTGTTGTATGTCATGTGATTAAAACTTAGCATCACTTTACTGTGCTAAGC